CCGCCCTCGGGATCGCCGAGCCCTGCCCGTGGCACCGGGACGCCGTGCCAGCGCCAGGGCGTTGGCACACCGGGACGGAAGGCGGCTCCCAGGGTGGGCGAGCGTTTGCAGTTCCCCTGCCTGCACCCACCTTCCCGTAGCACCCTGCCCGCTGCTCGCAGGACGGCTCTGCCTCGCTGGGTGCCCGCAAGGACTGGAGGGGCCCTGGGGACGTGCCCAGGAGTGGTGGCTTGTTCCTTCACAGGGAGATGGGGAGCAGCAGAGGGGGTGTTGTGGGGCAGGAGGGCTGGGTGGTGGGTTGGGATCCACGCTGGACTGCCACCGTGGGTCACTGGGGCTGGGTGGGGGGTCAGTGAGATGGGCACTGCCCTGGGGACTGCCGGGGGCACCCGCCGGGGGCTGTGGGGGGCCGGTGCAGGATGCTGGGTGCAGCCCAGGGGAGTGCCTGTGTGCCAGGTCCTGCTCAGCGATGCATCACACAGCCCTTGTGCTTGCTGCGGCCACGGCCACCCCACGCTACACCCACAGGCAAACTCACGGCCAAGCCCGCCCTAAACCCCCAGCCGCTCGGTGCTGCTCTGTAACAGCTGCTGTCATGGGGAGCACGCGTGTGCACGCATGAAGGTGCGTGTGCACGCACAAGAACACGTCTGCAGGTGTGTTTTCAGGGAGCGGTGCCCTGCAGCGCGAGGCACGATGGACAGTTTTAAGTCGGAGGTGAGGACCTGCCTGCTATTTACGCTCTGCGCAGGCAGAGCAGGCTGCTCCTCGGAGCACGGCAGCCCCAGGAATTCCTCCCCGACACCCGTGTCAGCCCCACAGCACGTGGCTGATGCCACGCGCAACCGTTGCCTGCCAGCGTCCACGACCTTGGTCCTTGCCATGAAAACCGTTCGAGCTCCACCTTGCAGCCGTCCTTGCCGGGAACATCCTTGGAGCTCAGCCTGGGTGGCAGGAGGTGGCCGTCCCTCTGCCTGGTCCACGTCCCCAGGGATGCAGGGATGCAGAGGGCTGGGTGGGCAGCGAGAGGTGGCCGGGTGCGACTGCAGGGCTGGGAGCATCGCTCCCTGTGCTGAGCTGCCTGCGGTGGGCCTGGGTGGGGGTGTCCCACCGCCC